TTTCCAAAAGGTTTTATTACGCCTTTCCAAAAGGCGTTATTACGCCTTTTAAAAAGGCGTTATTACGCCTCTTTTTTTTTCAATACATGACTTACTTAGCCCACCCTGGGGACTTGTTATAACTAGATTTCTAGGAAAAAAGATTTTTAAATGTGTAAAATATTTTCAGTGTTAAACCAATTTAGTCCTTCTCTGATGCCAGACGCTTCTACCAAGGTGTATGGATTTCAGAAATTTTGTTGAAGACTAATTGCTCATTATACCTATGCAAATACTTTGCCTGTTTTTTACCAAGAGGAGAGAAAAATATTTCAAATTTGACATGAATTTTTAATACGTGGCTAGCAAAGCCCAAAGCTGGTTCTGCCTATATCCTGGATTTTCAAAAGTAGAGTGTTGACTTCTCTTAATATGCATGCAAAATGTAAACAACTGTCTGCGAGATGTGCAGGAATATAGAAAATACTATAATTTATAATATAATTTATAATATTAAAACTATAATCTAAATATTGCATAAATAAAGATGGCTTTGGTTCAATCTTTCATATATTTACTATTTTAAAATAACGCCTTTCCATTTTTGGATACAACTCCTTTTCAAACAGGCCGGTAGTACGAATGAGAGTGGGGGGGGGGGTCCCCCTCCCCACTTTTTGGGAGAATAGTCTTGCTATAGTTTAAATATAAAAAATCATTAATTGATTGCTTGGTCCCTTAACATTTTGTTGCAGTATGGTTAAACTCGGGCAAGTCATTGCATTTAAAAAAAGTTTTATCGAAAAATTAGAAAAAGTTTCCCCTCAAGTTTAGGCAGTTTATTTTTTTTTCGGGGGGGGGGGGGGGGGAGGGTTCTTGTTTTTTTGTTTGCTTGTCAATTTTATGGGACCCCCCCCCCCCCACTTTAAAAGCACGGGCCTGTCAAAGACATAATAATGGCCCTTCAAAAGGCATAATAACGCCTTTTAGAAAGGCGTTATAACGCCTTTGGAAAGGCGTAATAACGCCTTTTTTCGCGTTATAACGCCTTTTGGAAAGGCGTAATTACGCCTTTATTTGTGTTATTACGCCTTTTTCCGCGTTATAACGCCTTTTCAAAAGGCGTTATTACGCCTTTTCCCGCGTTATAACGCCTTTTGAAAAGGCGTTATAACGCCTTTTAAATTTTTTTTTTTACCGTAGTTTGATCCTAATAGGCTTTCGTACTAAAGCATTACTTTAACTCGTCAATATAATCAAGAGACCTTTTCAATGTTCAGCTCGCAATATTTATTTATTGACTTGGTTCGAGGGCAACCCAAGAAACAGTTTGGTTCGAGAGGTCGACAAAACTCATTTTGCCAGAGAACACAGTCGATAAATGTTATAGCTTTTATTTTCGACGTACATGTTTATTGTGCTGGCTTCCATGGTGTGAATTTCCTTTACCCGCACTGCAGTTAAACTCACTATCAGTCAATATTCTGTCGGTCACTGTTGAACACCACTGAATGCAAATAAGCTTATCATGCCCACAGTGTGACGTAAGCGGTCCAATATCTTATCGACAGGTCCAATATCTCACTCTGATTTTGTGGACCGTTCAGTAAAACCATGGAAATTTTAAACTTTTTTAAAGTATATATTTATATAGGAAACGATTTTTAAAGGTATATCAAAGCCTTACATGTATAAACTTACGTAATCTTGGTAATGAAACGCAAATAAACTATGAAATTACCTTTCATGAGACAGACGGATGTTGACACATAAATCTTTGAATCAAGTCAAGTACAGCTAGAATGCATATAATTAATGTACATTAAATGACAAAGTAGAAGGATGTATATATTCTCCACGAATGCACATGCGCTTGTTTCATACAGTGCGCTAGTTTACTAGGTTCATGGGCCACAACGCTCACCTAAGTCAACTTGGCTCTGTTAATCTTGAGAAGTTTAAAGTTTTCCCCCTATGCAATTCATAGCAAAACGTGGCTCCCTTTTTGCCTCCAACCTAGCTTTAATCAACTGTCATCCTGCTCACCTGGAAAGGAAGAAAACTATATTAAATCTTTTTCCCCTGTAAAACTTTCTTTTCCTCCTTGAGTCCTACACAAGCCACGATTAAAAAAAAAACGTTTTCCAGATAATAACTCATGTTTTCTTTGAGTTTCTTCAATGAAATTTTATATTATAACTTCCAATGTATTAAAGAAGACCCCTTTTGATTTTTAGGTCAAGAGGTCAAGGCGAAAAAAAATTAATATCTTGTAAAAATGCTTTTCTGGTAATACCTCGTTTTTTTTTCTAAGGTTTTGCAGTGAAAAATTATATCTTTGTCAATATGACTTAAAGGACTACTCCCATTGATTTTGAGGTCAAAAGGTCACAGACCTAAGTCAGAAATTTATAGAATGCATACATAGTTTTCAAGTAATTACTTTTCTGTAAGCTTTTACAATGAAACTCAAGGTCATAAAGAAGATTGACTTTAAGGCCAAAAGCTGAAAAGTCAAGGTCGATCTTTTTTCTTTCTTCACCTGCACATTTTTACAGGTTTTCAACCCTCTTCTTTTTTCCATAAGCAGGGATACACACTTTATCTTAATTAGCTCTTGAAAATTATAAGAGATTTTCAATATTTTTTTATTCCCTTGTAAACTTTGATCCATATAGAATATATTGATGCCCTATCAAAGCCCTGGTGGCTATGATTTTTTCACTATATTTGTATGCTTGCATATTTATAAGACTAACTTTGGCTTTGCTGTTTTTTTTTATTTACATCCTAACACTGAAACCCCTGCTTCTTGGCATGAAATTTTAAATTTAGGAAAAGGTATTCTTGCTCCTCATAACCATGCAATTACGAAGTTTGCCCAGGGAAAGAAAAGAATATTTTCAAAGAAATAATGTCTTTTCACTACATGGTCAATAGAGCCCCATCCTAACACCAAAACCCCTGTCCCAGAGGCCACGAATTTCACAATTAAGGAAAACGCATCCTTGTTCATCATAACAATGAAATTAATTTGTCTGCTAAATACCCACGACCAGAGAAGATTTTAAAGAATTTATTCTGCATTTCACTATATGATCAATAAAGCCCTGTCCTAACACCAAAACCCCTGACCCAGGGGCCAGGAATTTCACAATTTTGGAAGAAGTACCCTTGCTTTTCATAACCATGCAATTAGTTGTCTGCCAAATACCCAGGGCCAGAGAAGAAGATTTATAAAGAATTCTTTTATGCATATAATGAAATTATCAATAGAACCCTGCCCTAAGACTAAAACGACTAACCCTGGAGCAATGAAATTCGCGATCTTAAAAAAGGCATCCTTGTTCATCATAACCATGCACTCAGTTTGCCTGCAAAATACCAAGGGACAGAGAAAAAGATTTTAAAAATTTTTGCATTTTACTATATCATCAATAGAACCCCACCCTAACATCAAACCCTTGACCAAAGGGAAAAAGAATTTCACAATTTTGAAAGAAGCACCCTTGTTCATCATGACCATTCACTTAGTTTATCTGCTTACTACCCAGGAGCTGAGATTTTCAAAGAAATACAGCCTTTTCACTAAATAATCAATAGAGCTCCTTCCTAACACCAGAACACTTGACCCTTGGGCCAAGAAATTTACAATTTTGAAAGAGCCACCCTTGTTCATCTAAACCATGCACTTACTTTGTCTGCTTAATATACAGGGGAGAGAAGATTTTTTTTTTAAATCATTATGCATTTTCACTATATAATCAATAGAGCCCAAACCTAACACCAGAACCTCTGACCCTAGAGCCATGAATTTCATAATTTTGGTAGAGGGTTCAATGCTTATTACAATCATGCTAACAGTTTGACTGCTTGATGTCTAGGAGTAAAGCAAAAGATTTTTTAAGACTGCATTTATTTTTAGTGGTTTTAGCCCCATCCCTCAGAAATTTGAAATTCAAATTTTTGTTCCACTTCACCCATAGATGCTATATGCCAAAATTAGTTGAAATTGGTTCAGTGGTTCCAGAGAAGAAGCTGAAAATATTCAAATGTTAACATATGACTCTATGGTGACCTAATGAATAATCATATCCCAGTAGTTTTTGAGAAGAAAAAATCAAGTTTTTTTTTCCATATAAAAAAGAAAAAAGTTTGTTGCCTGATTCAAATTTCTTGATCTGCATTTTCTAAGGATTCTTGCATATCAGTATGATCAACCATAACCCTACTGTTCTTGAAAAAACCCTATATATAATAAAACACAGTTATAGCAAACACACTTATAACCAATTAATGCTTAAAGCCAAGTGATATACATTCCCCATGGTTTTAAAGATTATTATGAACTAAATGGATACAAATTAGGTTTATAATGAATCTAAATTGTCCCTGGCACTTCACTACAAGAGAGTTTTATTGTATTCCACTTTAAAATTTGTTTCCCCTTTTGTAGCCCAACTCTATTCTTGGTTTGAACAAACTGGAATCTACACTACCTGAGGATGCTTGTATATCAATATTATCACTAATCATAGCTCTGCTATTCTTCTTCAGATTTATGAAATGCTTTTGTATATATTCCAATGTAAAACTTTGTGGTTCTATTCTACCCCTGGGAGCCATGATTTAACAAACAAGAGTCTGTTTGCAATATGATTGATCTCTTATCATGGACCTGCTGTCCTTGAGATTTTTGAAATTAGCCAATTAAGAAGATGTTAAGAATGTGAAAAGGTTTACATAAAACACACAACTGGCACAGAGACAAATATTGGGCAATCCAATAAGAAATGCTCAATTGATCCTTTGGTTCAGGTGAGCTAAAAATGACTACTTTTCATTACATAACATACATAAAAATTCTTTTTTTCAGACATTAAATGCTTGAGATCTTAATGGCTTTTCTGGATTCAGATACTAAACCTTGAGCTATTTTGGAGATGTGAAAATGGGCAAAGAATATGGGAACACCAACACCATTTATGATGAAATATTTATTACATAAATCATAAAGCAAACATAGGTATATATGTTCTAAAAGTAGTCTCAGTATAAGCTGAGAAATGTGATTTATTTATGAATATATTACACAATATTACTCTTAATTGCCATGTTAATGATGAACACTGAATGAGGTACAGACATTGTATATAACCAGTTTCTTCTTATTTTGTGAACTACAGTAAGTAAAATTGAGAAAAAAAATCAATAACTGTTAAATGGCTCACTTGATTTTATTTAGGGCCAGAATGTGGCTGAAGGTGGTATAATATTCTCAATTATAGATTAGTGAAAAACCTGTTCCAGCATGTACATTTATCTACTTGTATGTGACATTAAGAAAATCATACTTGAAATGCTTTGCAGTTTTTTGCATTATGAAAGTAAAAATATGAAATGAATAAGATAAAAATCAAGTTTATCTTGCATTCATTAAAAGTCTCTCCTCCAAATTTTTGAAAGCTGCAGGTGCATACTAGTATATACATGTACATATGTATCGGTACATGTACCTTATGTTAGTGTATTATAACATTTTGTTAAAGCTGAAGCAAAACTGACAATACATTCATTTGGTACATCCAAATGGTGGTAGAGACAAGTTTATACTGGTGTCAGGAATATTTGACACTCCTTAAACAGCCTGCTGAAAGATAGCTTACAAGCACTAAACATGGCAGCTCCCACAATGGGCCATTGACAGCCGGGATAGACTAAGGTTGACAGAATCAGGTCTCACATATAGACTGTCTCTAACAATGACATTATTATGATAATTGTGTCACTCCATCGTTGAGAGATCTTCATTGCTGAACTTGTAGCAGGAAAATGTCAGGCGTGCTTCCTCTTTCCGCAAGTTCTCTATACTGTATGTATTTCCTGTTGAATGCAGAAAAGTGAAAAAAAGGGGTTTTCAGTTCATCTTGGTCAGTTTTTAGAAAAAGTTTGCTGGCTGATATGAGTGCAATTTATACTAAATGCAAACATACAATTTGTTGATCTTTAAAATCACTAATACATATCAGCATATTTAGTTTGATAAAAATATCTTGAATGATTTATTGAAAAAAGAGATAATCACTAATTTAAGAAAAGTAAGGTTATAGTCAAAGGAAACCTCAACTCAAGGTAAAAAAAATGTTGATGCAGTTGAAAAGTTAACATCAATCTGTATTAGCATATGAAGTTTGATAAGAATATCATGAATGATTTCTTTAAAACTGAGTTAAGGTATTCAATGTATAATGAAGGAATATTGAGCAATTTTGAATCATTTTAAACTAGTTAAATATGTATTGCTAGATAATGATGAAAGTAAAATGAACCAAATTCACATGACTGATAACATATTAGAAACTGACCATTTTGCATCGTAAACATTTTCAAGAGTTATCTGCCCTTGATGCAAAAAAGAAAATTTAAATTTTGTCAATATATCTGTGGTAGATGACTTATTTTATTTTATATTTTAATAAAGAGAGAGTTTATGCATATTTTCACAAGAGATTTGTATGAAGTTCAAATTACCTTTTAGAATATCTAAACAAAACCTGCGCTGCCCATAGACTTCAGTGTAAAATTCAAGGTGCAATTAATTGGACAATAATCAAAATTTTGTAAATTCCTTTGGTGGTGTACTTTTATTTGAAAACATCTTCAAAATGCTAACTTGATTAAAAACACTGGACAATTCATTTACTAGGTACAGAATATGGTCATTATACATTGAATACCTTAAACACAAATTTAAGAAAAGTGAGGACAAGGTCAAAGTAAAGGTAAAAAAAATGTTTACACAGTTGAATAGCTTACGTCAGTGTGTATCAGCATATTAAGTTTGATTACACTATCTTGAATGGTTTCTTTAAAACTGAACTAAACATCAATTTAAGAAAAGTGAAGTCAAGGTTAAAGGAAATGTCAAGGTCAAAAAATGTTGATGCAGTTGAATAGCTAACATCAATATGTATCAGCAAAGGAAGTTTGACAAAAATATCTTGAATGGTTTCTTCAAACCTGGGCTAAACACAAATTTAAGAATGGTGAGGTCAAGGTCAAAGGAAAGGTCAAGGTAAAAAAAAAATGTTGATGCAATTTCTTTGAAATTGACCTTTGAACTGAGTTAAATGCAATGCGCAGTGAAAAGTCAGACGGAAGGACAGAAGAGGGTCAGGACAAACTCTATATGCCCCGGCCATATTTATGGTGAGGCATAAAAAAGTTTTATGACATTAAAGTGATAATCCTGGGGATAAGCAATATTTAACTTGTAATAATTCTAACGGCAACCGTTAAAGGTGTTCCCTAAACAACTCCCCACTCCCTACCAGCTTCACTAAATCTGGCAATGCTTTTGTATTTTAGACGTACACTTTTTTTCATAAATATTTTATTGGAAATCCAATGCTTATATAAAAAGTTTAGCCAATCATATTTCAATGAATGTGTATGAACATGCTTTCTAGATTTCTCACATATATCCTTTCATATTGTCTCATAATATATTCTCCTGTGACGAATTTCAGAGTATTTCATTGGAAAATAAGAGAGATACAAACAATTAAGTATTAGCCAATCAGAATTCAGCACATGTGTATGTATTTCCTTGCATTCAGTTTTGATAATACCATAATGTAAGAACACATTAAACCGATCTATATTCTAAAGTCTGTACTGTTTTGCTGAAAACTAAGAAAGTTATAGCTATTTAAAGTTACAGGCAAATTTCGTGCATGGACATGTATTTAAGAATTTTTGTTTTATATATCAAATTGTAGAACCTCATGATATATATTTATATTTTACTTTCTCAAAACACAAGGAAGTTATTGAGATATAATTGTCCCAGCTAATCTGACCAAAGCATACATGTTTGATTGTGCTTTCATGCTAATTCAACCATATCATCTTGTCAACACTACTAAAATATTATATGTTTATATCCAGTTTGCACCAAAAACTTTTCTGCACTAACCCAGTTGGGCTGGTAACACCAAAACTTTTCTAGCCCAAATCACTTTTTACTACTCCCCCCCCCCCCCCATTCCCCAAGTGTGAAAAAAATGACAGTTTTATTTCAGTCCATAGAAGTCATTGACATTTTAATTCATACTGTTTCTTAACTTTGAAAAGTGACAGTCTCTGTCTCAACTTTTTCTCTGAAACCCTTCCCACATTTAACATAGTGACCAGGAACAACAAACTATAAATAACCAAACCAAGCTTAGACAAAAAAACATCAACTGGGATAAGAAAATCTTTGGGAAAGTCGTTAATGCTTCATTGAGATAATTTTTTAAAGACACAAATCTTACCTTTTTTTTCAACAATATTGATAAAAATAGACATATATTACTGAAAATTCCACAAGTCCTATTGGGCTATTGTTGAGCTACATTTTATTAGCCTGACCAAATTTTCACAAGTGTTCGGGCATCAAGCTAGTGCTTTTGGTGCACACTGTATATCCTGAGTTTAACAAGAGGCTCATGGGCCACAACACTCACATAAGTCACTATGGCCCTTTTGTTATGTCCCCTTGAAAGAGGGTGTGGCCCTTCATTTGAACAAACTTGTGAAAAGTTAATGGGTGACAACGGACAAATTTTGATCAGAAAAGCTCACTTGAGCCTTTGGCTCAGATGAGTTAAAACAGAGAGTAAAAACTGTATGTTCCCAAAAACTTAACCTATCTAAATCAATCTGTGCACACCTGGCTAAGATATACCGATAAGACTTGAATAACATTTGATAAAAATTTACCTTGTGGAACAAAAAACATGTCACCAGCTTCTGCTACCATTTTAGTTCTATGAATGGTCACACATATTTTTCCTTTTAGCAAGCAGAATACCTAAAAACAAGACGTTTTATTCAGTTACAGACTGCACTTTATCTTGGGAAAATTTAACGAAAGCAACCTATGACACATTTTCCTGCAATAATTTTTAACAAAGTAATGCATCAACTTTAATATAATTTTTAGTTCAGGTAAAATGGATCTAGTTCCAAATTTTCATATGAACACTCATTCATATTATTTATGTCAATCCAACAACACTAGTATAAATGCTTCATTTTTCTGGCGTTCTAACTTACCATGGTTCCACTGTTGACAATCTGTTCTGGTTTTGATTTCAGTGGCCTTAGATAAAGATTTCCCATCATGAACTGCCTCTGGTTCAATCGCAGTGACATGACATAGGGGTCAGTCGAGATTGGGTCATGTTTCGATGGGCCCACAAACACCTCAGAATCCTTAGAACTGAAGCATTCTGTTGAAATAACATGAAGTCTCTGGTGAGACTGTTGCTCAACAAAGAGAAAAGCTGCATTTGGACTTGTACCATTTCTTTATTAAAATGTTTTACATTTTCTGTGAAAAATGACCACACATTCTCCCTTAACTTGGACAAAAAGAGGCACATCATGTATCACTGTAACATTATTTTTAAGTTATTTGCAATTTTGATGAGTTTTTTCCCCCTGTTCATTACAGAACATAATAGGCCCGTAGAATGCAGGGGATCCAGGCCCCCACTTTTTCTGAGTATAGTATTTAGCTAAGTAAATTTTCCTATAGTAAATTTTCCCCTCTCCCCACTTTTTTGTTGCTGAAAGGTTGAGCACTGGTGAATTCCAGTATTTGGACAGTTAAGAGCCCTCTATACTGCACACTAAAGTGTTCTAATTTTGTGGTATTTTTATGCAGATAGAGTAATCTGCCCTTTGATCAAGAATAAAATAAATTGAAATGTACAGTTTATTACTTAATTTGTGATCATATTATGCATTCATAACATTTCAATTAGCCAAGATGAATAGATTGAACACTTCATTTGCAGGTATTTTGCCCACTTACTTAAATAAAGTGCCCCGCCAAAGCATGATACGCCCATCAAATATTGTTCAATTATCACGAAAAGTTTAGAGTGCAAGAAAATCAAGTCAACCTTGATACAAGGATTTCCAAGATTTTCCATTTCTTATAATTTTTGTTTATACATTTCCTGTGAGGTAGGCATTATAACAAATATTACATTATAGATCCTCAACTGGTAGTGTTAGAGCTTGACAAATGCCCATCTGCCCCCCCCCCCCCCCCCCCCCCTCCCCACACACACAAAAACAGTGACACACACACACATCTTTCATATTTGTGAGACATGATGCTCTGAAATTTACTAGTTGATATTTTCAAAAAATAAAATAAAAATAACATATTAAACAATATCAATTTAGTCTTAACAACTTAATCTATACCAATTTAATTTTAAAATAAAAGACTGGCCATCAAATGACATATGCTATAAACTGACCAGCAGTTCTTCTGTCTAACTCCCAAAGGATACAGATAAGAACTGCTTGATCAGAGATGCTCTAACAGAAATGATTGAGACAGCTAGCCTTCCTACACTGAACTCATTAATTAATCTTTAACTGGATGCATGTCCACTCATTACTCCCAAGAGATGAATGGATCTGCGCTATCTGCTTTGTAGTGCAATTAAAATGCATATTTATGTCATTCTGAAATTAAATTTGAAAACAAAGATATTTTTTTTCAATTTGTTACAAAGATTTATAAAAAGAAAAAAAAATTGTAATCTTAATGCAACATTTTTGATAAGGTTTCTGCTTGACTCTTAGATTTGTAGGGACTATCTACCATAATTAAAACTTTTTTTTAAAATACTTTTTTTTTTTTAGATTCAATGTCAGACTGGTTTTAAGCTGCAATTCATATGGACAATGGGCATGCTAATTCCAAATCCAATATCATAACCCCCCCCCCCCAAGTATAATTAGTTTTAATTAATTATTTTATTATATTATATCAAATTAGTTTATTATACAATATCAAATTAGTTTTAATTACTTTTCACCAAATTCATTTTAAAAGTTAGGGTAGCCCACAAAAACTATTTAATCCAACATGGCTGATTCCTCTGCCCAATTCCCAAGAGATATAGATAACACCTGCTTGATCAGAGATGCTCTACCAGTTAGCTCCTCACACTAAACTCATTAATTTCTCTCTAATTTGACATGCAATTTTCTGCTATCAAAGTTCTCCTTCACCAGTGCTTGATAATTACACCCATGGGAGAGGTGGAATTTCTCTTGTAACATTATATTTGTTATAGATTGCTGTAAAGTATATAATGAAAAAAATAAGTATTTCTTGATTTTAACATCTTTTTAATAAGAATACTGCAACACTTTTACATTTTTGGGATTGTGTAATTTAATAGTAAAAAGACCTAAGACCTTCATAAACTGCATAAACTGGCCAAGTTTGATGATTCTAAGTCTAATAGTTTTCTAGTTATAAGGCGGACAGGATTATTCCATATTTGGCCATAGCATCTTAATTAAAGGTCAGAACAACCTACTTTTAGTGCGCGACACACCTTCTACCCAAGAAGTATCAGCTGACAAAGTTTGATAATCCTAGGCCTAATAGTATTAAAGTTATGAGCCGGACACGAGAAAAAGCTAACAGACAGACGGACGGACGGACATGAACGCCATAACATAATATGTCCCGTCTAAAGACGGGCATATAACAAGTGATTTTTTTGTTCATCAGTACTTCACTGTATTTGAACATTTTTCCTGGGGGTAAATGCAAGGTACCCTTTGTTGAAAATGTGATAGATAAGCTCAATATTTACACCTTTAAACACCATGATTTTCTCAATGTCCAAAAAATCTTTTCCTCTAGTGTATAGAGGGTCCTTAAATAGTTTTTTTTTTTTTTTTTTTTTTTTTTTTTTTGCTTGTCAGATTTTTGGGGGAAGCCCCCCCCTCCCACTTTTGAAACCATTGCTACAGGCCTACATAATATACAAATATTGATTGGGGTTGAGAGCAGCATTGATAATGTTAGCTTCCAAGGGATGAAATATTGCATGCATAGAATGGAGGGCAATATTTTGGTTCCGGGGGCTAACATAATCAGTCCTTTCAGATAAAGATGGGGTCCTTATTCAAGCAAATGGAGGGTATAACAAAACACTCAATTATTGAGATTGGAATAAAATATGATTTGTTGGACCCATAAACAAAATATTGCCTTTAGCCTTTGGCTTCATGAAATTTTTTTTCTTCAGGTCCAACAATTCATATGTTGCTCTCATACACTGTCAATGACTGTATAGTGACTACATGTTGCCTAAACATGTACCAAGTCATATAGAAATACGACGAAAACTGGAGGAGTCAGATTTTAAAAGAATTTAAGAAATTAGTTTTTTAACAACCATAGTGATATAAATCACCAAAAACAGAATTATGAATCCCTGTATAGTGTAAATTGATAGCACACTCTAAAAATCTAAGCAAAACTAAAGAATAACATTTATATGATTTTTTGAAGAAAATTTTTTTTGAGTGAAAATCAAGATATCCTTAGATCATAATTATAAATTGTTAGGAGTTATGTACCTTGGCATCATCTACAGATGTATCAAGAACTGTACCTGTATCAAATACAAGAATTCAGAATAACTGCAGAAAAATCTCTTACCCATTAATACTTCCTCGTTATTGGCTGGATTTAACACCAGAACTTCTGAATCACTCGAGTCTTGTAGCTCAGGATCCAGATCTGTATGTACTGACAAATTTCTACGGGGAGATTGGGTAAACTTGGTCCTTTTATCTAGAAAGATAGAAATGAATCATAACCCACATGTAATTAAAATAATTTCATTTACCTCTATCATCAAATCAATATAATATTGCTAATAATTAGGGATGTCAATTCTGTCAATAATTAATATTCGAATATTCAATGAAAGTATTTGAATACATTCGAATATTCGATAAAATAAATAAAATCTGGTTTATTTTAAATATGCATCATCCTACTTTCATGAAAGGTTTAGCGTAGGTATTCTTATATTGGAAGTAAAATTGTATAAAGACTTTTGTAGGTGTACAATAAGGAATTCCATTTGATATTTGTCAATGTCTGAAATAAATATTTGATTTAAATGTAGAAAAGAATAATTTTAACAAATGGTACACGTTTTTATAGTAGCTCCAACTTAGGAACCAGTCGTCTTACCAAAAGCAGGATAGTCGTATACTTTTCTGATTTCAATACGTGTAATTAATTACAATTATCAGCCTATAATAAGAGATATTTTTATAATCTGTGATACAATGTTTTTAAAGTATAAACAAACATTTCCATAGACAATATTCCTAGGTAATTAACAGGTAAACTAATTTCCCGATAATGAATACAAAATTAAGGATTATGTACAACCCAAAATAATCAAGTAATTTACACATTTATTCTGAAATTGAGCCCTTAATTAAACAGGGATAATTCCAGCAGTGTTCTAATCAAAATTTATAAATCACAGTACTTCTTTTTATGAAATCTGAAAAACGCCAAAAAAACACCGAATATTCGAATCTTAAATTCATATTCAAATATCAACTCATAGAATGAATATTTGAATGTTCGAATATTCGTTGACATCCCTACTAATAATTCTAAAAATAAATTTCTCTCTCATGTATCCATCCATTTTGTCCTCATATTTACTTTCAGTGCGATTTTGGTTCCTTTTCTTGATGACGTTTTTCCTTCGTTTTGCTTCCTGTGCCAGCATCAGCATTTCAACATGAGATGGTTCTACTTTTACAATACCTAGACCTACAGAAACAAGATATCATTACGTAAAAGATTTTTGTTTCAGAATTAAACTACAAGGTACCTTTATGCTTGTGAAATATGTCACGATAATTAATTTTAGTAAATAAATTCTGCTGATAAAACAAACGTTTACATGTATATTCAAATATTCAATATACATGTAATCAGTTTTTATATATTTTTTCCTCAATTGTTAATAAACAAATACTACATATGTAACAGTATTTTGCAATCAATAACCAGAATAAGTAAACCAATCATTTTATTGATTATAAATCGATCATATCCCCATCACTATTACATGCAACATATTCATTTCCCAGTTTGCCAATACAAAACCATTCCATAACTGTATATTATTATACCTCTACTGTTATTACTCTATATAAAATTAACACCATAAAACTGTCTATTTCCCTGAGAAGATACTATTTCCCTCATCCGAGGACTATTCCCTGAAAAATCGGAGCTACTCCCTGGGACTACTCCCTGATGAATATTTATTTATAATTTTAACCAATTAAAATGAACAGTGGGCAGAGCGTTCAAGGAATCTCGAGTCTGTGATGTAATGTTATTAGCAATGTAACTATGACATCAATACATTTCGACATGCAATGTCAAAATCATACTGGAATTCTAGCAAAATGAAGACAACGATAATTCTTCAAAGTGTCAGTGAAATTATTTCATATTTTTAATAATTTTACTTTCCTCGGTATTGATGCATATACAAGTGCATAAACTTACAATATTTTTAATCACATGCATTTGTGATTTTTTAAATGCCTCTCTATTGTTTTAAAAAATGTCTGAGTCTCTAGTTTGATAAATCTCCCATGATTGTTTCGGTATAATAAAACAGTTATGGAATGGGTATGAGGGAAATATCAAATTTATGGTTCCCCTTGGCAGGAAACTATTTCCCTCGGCGGCCTCGGGAAATAGTTTCCTCCTTTGGGGAACCATAAATTTGCTATTTCCCTCATACCCATTCCATAACTGAACCTTCCATCAGCTTAATGGAATAAAACAGGGCATAAGAAGTGACCGATCTGCGATGATAAATATGCTCAAGCTGGAGTTGCTTGCTAATCTCAAAGATATTTCTCGCACACTTATACAGAATGTTTTACAGTAATTGAAGATGATTAAAAGATATGTATCATTTTTGCTGCTAGGAAATTACCTGATTTTCTACGTTCATACACAAGTCTCTCTCCTTTATACCAGGCAACTGGCTGACATCGAACTCGTCGTGACCTTCGAACTCCATCAGGGGCATCTTCAGGAAGGACTATAAAATGATAGCTAAACAATGTACAATCAGTTAAAACATGAGAATTCCTGATTATTCTGTGTTTACTTACAGATTTTAGGCTTGGGTGGCATCAACACTTGGGGTACAGGAGATTCACTTGTTGTTGTCTGAAATATATGGATTGGTGTTGCATTCATAGAATATACGGAATTCATAGATAGGCTCTGCTTCTCTCCTGAAAAACACATACAAGTAAAATTATTCCTGAAATCAGATTTAATTGCTTTGATAATAGTTTTTACAGAGGAAAGCATCTCTCAAATAAGTGAAAGTATATGCATGCAAGCATTTTCCCATCAAGCCATGCATGAGTTCCATTCACACAGTGTCATGGACTGACCTGATGTGTCTGGGCTGTTGAAGGTTTGTTCTTCTACCAAGTGATTAATGGTTACTCTTCTCTTCTTTCCACGGATTACTGATCCTGGTTGTTTCAGAATTGGGGTCAGCCCTGGAGCTGGAGAGTTCATAAAATCCATGTGCTTCCTCAATGTTACAGGGGTTTCTATTTAAAAAGTAAAGCTTAATATAAAGTTATACAACATTCATAACAGAGGGGGTTAGTGTGATAATATTAAATCATTTTTTTTCTTTTCAATATTTGGGAATTATTATTCAATTCATATATTTAATTGCATTGTCTAACAAATTGCAGGAAGGTAGGAAGGTGTACCATGTATACATAAACCAGAGGCTCTATGATTGAGCTCACAAAATGATCCCCTTCTCCTTTGCATTTTTGCTAACTCTTCTAATTTGTTTCTCCATTAGAAAGCTATGGACCTGGCAAATTTGAATTATACACTGTTCTGCTAGTGACCTTGAACTTGTCCAAATGATCTTGGGTCAAGGTCAAGACACACCCTCAGGTCATAGACAATCCTTGTCTCAAGCATGAGTTTCCAGTGAAGATATGGCTAGGACAGGACTTGTTTATTTTTTTTTTAAAAGTGACATCAAATTTGCCTAAATGACCATATCCACAAGTAAAGACACATTCTTAGATCCTCAGTAATTTCTGTGTAAAGTACGAACTCCAAAAGTTTCTCCATAAGAAAGATATGGAGCATACACAAATCCTACTCTGTTTTCATTCCTAGATGCATCATCCTTTCAGGGTTAGTCCATGTACAGTTTAGTTATTTTGTTATGGACTTCTTCAAATCTGGCCACTTAACATCAAGGAGAGCAAAAAAGTATGAAACCCTCTACCCATGTCCATATTTATAACATGATATAGAGTGTGAGTAATGTCAGATTACTGATTTCAAGAAAACAGGGCTTACTGTTAGATGACATCTGGTTAATGGATTCCTCTTTAACTGATGTTTGATTCCTGTGTCGGAATGACACTCCACTCTTCAGAAGCTCCTCATCAACCTGGTACACAGAAACGGGTGTAGAACCAAGGCTCTGTTTTTTGCTGACATTATCCTGGTTACCTGAAAACAAAACATTGTTATTAATCTATAAAAGAGGCTGTATATAGTAGGGATGTCAATTTTACTCTTACAGCTTAGTCGAATAGTCGGAGGCTTTAGTCAAACGATAGTTGAGTACTTGTTGAAATTTAAATTAATATTTCATGTCATTTTTCCTCTTTGTCTTTAACAGACTGCTAGCCTGTACAATATTTAATTTACGCTATCACCATTATACAAAGAATTATTGAATCGTTAACATTTACATAGTAATAAATACATGTATAATGTATGTATATAATACATGTATGATAAATACATGTATATGTATGCACTGTATTTGATTTCAAATATAATATTTACATTTTATCTATATACAGAATATCAAACGCTTGCATTTATCCTTTCTTTTCATGCTGCTAGTACTTGTACCTGTTGTTAATTTCTTACCTGAAGCCATTTAATGTCTTGACAGTGACCCGTGATTGTTAAACAATTAAAGCGTAACTCTTATAAAAACAAAGAGAGCTTGCGATAAATTTCAATTATGAGATTTTTTGTAAACAATCAATACAATTTTGAAATGAGTGATATTAATATCAGAAATAAAAATGCTCATAACCCAATTTACATGTATTTACAAATACGTAACAGCTGTTTAATTATCATTCATTAATTGATAGTTGCATTATAGATCTTACAGAATTGCAGATTGAAACTCTACAATTTGGATCTGACGGTTTTTAAAGTATGCCAATGCATGTTTGCTTAAAAAAAAAAAAAAAAAAAAAAAAAAAAATCCTTTGCACAATTAACGAAGACCGGTTAAGCCTTTCCCTGAGTTTCACTGACGAAAAAACTGATACGTTAATAAATGAACTGAGCATATCCATTTTTTTTTTTACATTGAATTTAAGATTTCTATTAAGTAACAAATTTTTAACGAATAACCGACTAAAAAAAATTTAGTCGATAGTCGGTATGGTCGAACAATAGTTGAGTACTCGAATATTCGTTGACATCCCTAGTATATAGCATCCATTAAATGATGCAAGATATTAATTTTTAACAAATGAAAACTTTTAAAAACTTTTGAGAAATAATTTATGTCTAGGTACTGGTATTAGAATTGCTCATAAGGAATATATCAAGGCACATTATGAAACAATAAAGTCATAATTTAACCTTCATCTTTTGGTGAGTGTTCTACAGCATCATTGGCAACTATGTCATCTAAATTCTCATCTTTCAGCTCATCTACATTTTCGTTCATTACTTTGTTTTCCTCCACCTCCTCGTCAATGACATCAACTGCCTGACCCCCAAGACTTTTACTCTTAGTTGTTTTCCTTTGACTGCCTTTCTTTTTCCTGGTGGGTTCTAATCCTACACTCCCTAAGCTTTTTGTTTTCCTTTGTTTTCTGTTGTTCATGTCTGAAAAACTTTCACTTTCATTTGCCACAGCCTCACTGGGCCCTGGACCATCATCCACATTATTCCTACCCTGAATACCTTCAACATCCTCCTCCTCAGTAACAGAATCAGCTTTACCTCTCTTTCCACTCTTTCTTTTTTGACTCCTCTTTGTTCTCTTCTGATCTGTCCCTCCCTGTTGCATACTTTTTCTCTGCCCCTTTCCCTTCCCTTTTTTGGTGGATGATCTTTCTTTTTCCACATATAAGTCATTGGGATCAGCATCCTCCACTTCTAACATTTCCACTTCTCTCTGGATTCCTTGAAGATTCTCCAAACTTCCAATGAAAGCTGAGTGAAGGCTTCTAGATTTTCTCATTGATTTTCTGTCTTCTGGATCTCTTGCTCCAATTAAACTAGATTTGTCCTTCCTTGAAGACATTCCCTCAGAGGTTCTGGTCTGGAACTTGTTTAATTTCTTTACACTGTTTATTTTTCTTTGTATTGAATCATTCCTTGTCTTAGCTTTTCTGGTTTTGTATCCAGAACTTTTGGACCTGGAACTCATATTATTTGTATCCAGTCCCTGCTTTTCATGGTCTTCCGTTAAAAAACTCTTAATAAATTGACTTGTATGAGCAGCCATATTTTCTTCTGGATCTATTACTTCATTTTGTTCATCTTCTTTCACTTCTGAAACATGAGACTTGTCACTGGATGATTTTCTTGACTTTTTAGTTGTCATACTTTGTTCTTTACTTTTTGCCATCTGCCCTGGTGAATCAGACATTGATACTGAATGTCTTCTACTTTTATTCATCTTAGAAGATTTTTCATTTACATGTGTATCAATATCTTCCTCATGGTAATAATTCACCTGTAGAATTATACCCTCTTCTTCTTCACTAATGTCTGTGTTTCTAGATCCTTTAAAGGAATTTTCTGCAGTGTCACTAAGTGATCCCCTAGACTTGGTTGTTGATTTTATTTCCACACTATCTATTGTAACACTTGACTTTCTTTTACTAGTAGCTTGTGGACTAAGCCTGACTTCCTTTTCTACCACCAACTCGGATTCCTCTATATCATTGTAAGCTTCTTTGTCATTTGTATCAGATAGCTGGGCATCAGAATTTCTATTACTTCTCCTGATTCTTGGCTCCAGTGATTTGCGGCTATCATCAGATGGTTTCCTCCCTCTAGAAGTCTTTCTAGAAACAGAACTTTTCTCCTTAGCTGCTTTTTGCCCTTTCCTCTTCTTTGCTGGTGAATGAACTGTTGATTCTTCTGTCTCCTCTACATTTCTCTCCTTCCTTTCACTGGGTTCTGATTTTTTCTTTCTCTTTCCTCCAACTTTAGGCTTTCCTCTCTTCCACTGTTCAATCTCAGTATTTGGATCTATTGACCTGTCTTCGCTGATATCTGATGCAGCGCCGTCCACATTCATTGCATTCAATAAAGCACTTGTCTTCTTCCTGTGAGATGTCTGGCTCTGAGATTTTATATCTTGTGTTTTATTGGTAACAGTCTGGTTCTCCCTTGTTTTCTTGTTCCTGAAGAACAAAAATTCCTGACTAGCATTGGATGCAGTTTCATCATCGTCGTCATTTGGGTTTTGAAGGTGGTCCTCTTCTTGGTTATCTTTTGACCTGAAAATTGAAAGAGACCGAATTGACAAATAGAAATTTCATTAAAACATGGCAGCTTTTTCAAATGTAAATGCTTATGTTTTGTGAAAAATTAAATCCCCATTTATAGAAAAGCATGTGCATTTCTTTTAATTTTGCATCAGCTTTTAAAATTGAAACTTACAATTGTGAGATAGCACTTGTTGATTTCTTCTGTTCTAGAGAGCTGTTTTCTGATAGGCTTTTGCCTCTTCTTTTCCCGGACAGCTGTGTCTTGTGAGAGTCAACCTGGGGGGTCTCAGCTGGTATGGAAGAGGGGAGGGATTTTCCACGCTTACTGCTTGTAAAAAAAAAAAAAAACAAATCAAAGTTTGATCATTTTTCAATATCTTTAAATGTGTTGGTAAATTCTTCATCCAAATGTTGTTGAAATATTCATGGGAAAAAACCCCAATTATTGTATACATTAAGAAACATTGTATTACTTTCTTCTGCCAGTTAGAGCTGAAATCTTTGTTTCTAGTAGCCCTGGCTTTCTCTGCCCTTGACTTTTCACCTCAGTTTGTTCATCATCTAATTCAGATGGAATTGATTTCTGCACTGTTGAGGTACTTTTTCTCTGGACACTTTTCCTGGCATTGGGTTTCTGCTGAGCCTTTCCATCATCCAAAGTAACGATCTCAATACTATCTGCATCACTGTCAAGGACAACTTCAGTTACATCACTTGGGATTTTGATTTTTGTGTCATTTCTGAAGTACATGTAAAATACCAGAAAAAATCACAAGTCAAGTTTCATACATTTCTATTAAAAATTGCTAAACATAAAGGCTTTGAAATTTTGCTAAATAAAGCATAAATGTATGCTGATTATCTATTTATTCCCTTGCTGGTACTATGAAGCTCACCCCCATTTCCAACACATGCCATATACCGGTAGTCTGCAGAGAGGTGAAATCAATTTATTCTTTTAAGAATTCACCCAGGGCTCAATAAGTTCTTATTGTTGACAAGGTCCTGTGCCCTTTTATTAGGGAATGTTACATAAAATTGATGAAATAGGGATGTATAGTTTTTGTGTTATCCCTTTATACATGAAATCATCTAATTGTAAGAAATAGTAATGCATTTATTAAATAATTCATTAAATTTGAAAAATTTGACTATTATTATGTAATTTTTATTTATTTTTGTTTTAAATTTATAGACTTATTCCTTGGGACAAACTTTTGCAACTGACCTGTCTTTATTAAAACATGCAGAAGTAAGATTTGCACAAAGGAAATTTAGTTGACAGCAACTTACTGTTTTTCTCCTAAAGCTATTGATGATTTCCGGCTACCATCACTCTCAGCTGCAGAAAATGAAATCCTGAAAATGTACCACGAGAATGAATGGCAGACAGAAGTCAGTGCTGGTACTTAAGGAGATGGCCTGCGTAAAACTGAGGTACAGTGTACATCTATAACTTTTGGCTAATCTGTATTCTTACCTTTTACGGGTTCTAAAGCTTGGAACCACACTGTTTGTTAAATCCTCTGACTTTGTGATAGACCCTGTCTTGTTGCCTCCAATATCCATATGAGAGGCCTTGGTTATCTCCTGAACTGTTGTTGGAGCCTCTATTCTGTTCTCAGTGGGTATTTCCACAATAGATCTCACCATGGATTGCATGTTACTTTTAGGGGTTGGCTCTCCCTCGGATATATTCTCATGTGAATGTAACACATGTCTCTGAATAGAGGAAATACTCCCTGACCTGTTTTTTGAATGTGATTGTAATGTCTGTCTCTGAGTGGAGGTAATACTCCCTGACCTGTCTTGTGATTGTAACGTATGGCTCCGAGTAGAGGTAATACTGCTTGACCTGGCTTGTGATTGTAACATATGGCTCCGAGTAGATGTAATACTCCCTGATCTGTCTTGTGACTGTAGCTGGGTCTTTGTGGCTGATTCACCAGTCTCTCCCTGTGAAGCAGCTGTGTAGGAGGAGTTATCAGCCCTTAATGATACCTCCTCATCCTCCTCTTCAGATTCAAATGATTCTAAAACAAGAGATAAGTACATGTACACAGTGAACTTTCCTTTCCATTTCAAAAATCCCTAATAGAAAAGTTTTTTAAAACCATAAATGAGCACTAAAACTGAAAACATTTAATGAATGAAATCTTAAAATTCTTTCAAAAATAGAATACACGTATTAAAGAGCATATACAGTTAGGACTTATGACAACTGTGAAGTACTACCATTATTAGCTGCCATGGACCGAGTTTGAGTGTTAGTGGGCGTGTCTACTTCCTCCCGAGTACTCTCAATTAGTGAGCTGATAGTTCCTGTCATCTGATCCCTCGATACTTGAGCTTCTGTTAAAACAGTGTAAGGCATTGCAGTTCTCATTCACATTTTTTTCTTATCTATAATTTTTATAGTAATAGTGACTTTGTATAAACTGGTAATAAAGCATCCACTGAATGATTCTAAGATGTTAAGTATTTTTTTTCTAATCAAGTAAAATAAAAGGAAAACCTGAATTTGATGCTTCAGCACTGGCGGACATGTTAGTGTCATAACTACAAGAAATTTCATATATAAAAGCATCAGCATATGAAAAGCATAAGATCTCAGACAACATTAAAGATAAACACTCCCTGATTCATGATCCACAAAAAAATATGAAGAGGCAAAATTTTACTAGTGAGACAATACACTCCTAACAGCAAAAGGTTTTTTTCTCATTTCAAACTAAACTATGATGTTTTAAAAATAAGGGATGACAAATTCCCTTTTTGTGTACTTACATTGAATGGTCTTCAATCTAAAAAAAAAATAATATAATCAAAAGAAATAAAACAATGAAATCAGTATTTAGTCCTCTCAATTTACTCTACTGCATTGTAAGGCACACTAATATAAATATGTAGAACAGGTTATTATGACAAAAATAAAAGCAAGTAATCATATTTTTTCATGATTTTTTAATTTTTTTTTCTCAAAAATAATCTTCAACCATTTTATCTCTAGCTAACAGAAGCAAACTGGATTATTGGGAAAAATTTTGATGATAATTTACATGTGTAAAGTAAATTGTACATTTTTGATTTTCCCCCCAAGAAATCATCATGATTATTTAGCATTTTTGCAAATGGTGCATTATAAGAAACTGAAAACATCCATATTTTAAATCATATTTAATGTGTTGCCAAACTTCATAAGTTATTTATCTAATTTTTCTGCAACATTTTTATTCAAAACAAATTTATTTACATGTATATATTTTCAGAAGTTTTCAAATACAAAGACAATTTCCATTGAAACACGCAGAGAATAATAGATAGTAGGCACGAAAACTAATACCCATGATCAACTTTACATATACCCAACATTTTATGAACTACAGGTAACTCTCGATCTCTCGAAGTTCAAGGGACCGCAAGAAAAGTTCGAGAGATCGAGGGGTTCGAGAGATAGAAAGTGAATAAAATCCAGAATTTTCAGTTCCGATCATCATTGTTCTACTATTATAAATACCGGAAGTATAGGTTGATAATGTCATTGCACGTTATCGTCTCGCTGTCAAGTCAAAATAAATAGTGAAGCAATTCGTTTATAATTTACCAATGATCACCAATTAATCATATCGACACTCAGATGCTCACAGATATAGTGTCATCTATGTAAACACGCAATTAATGCCTCCATACCCGCCCCAGGCGTTGAATGTTATCCAGATAAGTCCAAGCTGCATTAATTTTACGCTTGATTGGCGTGTACACACGTGCAATCACAACTTCGAGAGATAGAGAGTAAAAAACAATGAAATGTGTGTCACAGGACCCAGGTCTTGGTTCGAGAGATAGAGAACTTCGAGAGATCGGAAGTTCGAGATATCAGAAGTAAATTTGCTTAGTTATATAGAGGAAAAAAACAGGACCGGGGGTTCACTTAGAGAGATCGAGAACTTCAAGAGATCGGAGTACGAGCCATCGAGAGTCACCTGTATTTCATAAGGTTTACCAGTTTCGAGGGTTCCCTTGTGAAGTTAGTACTTGTCCTTGACAAACGGTTTGTCATCAAAGAGCTACTTAGACTCTCTGCCTCTGGAAGAAAAAAAAAATAAATGACTAGAAATATGTATTAAAGACATGAATGCCCCATAATGTCATATGTCAGAAAAGTATGACACAGTTGAATAGCTCATAACAAAGTGACTCTTTGTATTAAGTTTTGATGAAAATAAATTGAACACTTCCTTTGAAATTGAGCTAAATATAAAAGGAAAAATGAGGTCAAGGTCACAGGAAAGGTCAAGGTGAGAAAATTATAACACAGTTGAATAATTCCTACTATGTGTATCAGCGTTGAGTTTCAATAAAAAATCTTGAATCATTTCTTTCAAACTGAGCTTAACACAAAATAGAAATAGCGAAGTCAAGGTCACAGGGAAGATCAAGAACAGAAAATTATGCCAAAGTTATGTAGCTTTCCCCAAATATGTATCAGTGTATGAATTTTGGATAATATACATGTATTTTGAACAGTTCCTTTGAAACAGCTAAAAGTAAAATGTGACAGATGATGGATAGATGGAAGAAAGATGGACATGACAAAGATATTATGCCCTGGCCATATTCATGGCAGAACATGAAAAAAATAAAAATATCATTTATCAGCATTTTAAGGTAACTGTTGAATTTTTATAAAGGCTAATAAATATAATCAAGAGGAATTAAAATTTATTTCTGATGAGGTGTCTAAAACATTTAACAATGCTTGCACAGTTGATAAAAAGAAACATTCAAATGTGTATTATTCTGAAATACATGTATATGTACCTGATTCAGAGAGAAAATCCTCAAATATTTCATATCCCTCTTCATCCACTCGGATAATTTTCCCCTCTGTCAAGTCCTTCCCTGTACGTCTACAAAATACCAGTATATTATCATAATTTTTATCCAAAATTTGATTTTAATTACCTGGTATCTGATTCATAAAATGTATTTACTAGTGTATTGAATTTTTCTTAAAGGAACATGATAAACATGGCTGACTAGCAGTATAGACTGTTTCCCAATAACTGGTACTGCTCTTTGCAAGGAAATATGATATAACAGCAATTTTGTTTGATAAATTTCATTTAAATAAATGTACATGTATATATGGTAACTAAAATTTGTCAAACTGTACTAATTTGCCCTGCAAAAGAGCAGTACCAGTAGTTTTCATGAAAGGGCTAATTCATCACACTAAACACTGAACAGTTACTGGTAAGTACAATACAAACTAGTTCATTTAAATCTCACCTGCCAATGTTCTTATTTCTTAACCAGCCTACTGGATTGGTGTCTGAAGCCTACAAATGATATCATTTGAATCTTTTTTAGATTCACACATGAAGAAATGTAAACAGAAAATCTTTTACTTTGGGTGAATTTCCACCAAGTACAGTGAGAATTAACTACATGTACTATAAATATCATTTTTAAAGATGCATTTTTTAAAAAAAAAAAAAACTCTGTTTGTGGCATAAGGCCTAAAACAAGAGGCCCAAGGGCCTTGAATCGCTCTTCTGATAAACTGTACAACCTATCATTTCTACTGTAGATTCCTAATTATACGCGAGGAATAAATTGTCACGTAATTACGCGAGAAGCACCACTCGCGAAATAAAATTACTCGCTTTTATTTTTATGGTGCTTTAATGTATGTAAAATCTCTAGATAAATCACCCATTCGCGAATTATTGTTCTCGCGGTTTGACGCACTTGGGCCACTTCGCGATATTAAGTACTCGCGTAAAATAAGGAATTTACAGTATTTGAAGCCTCTACGTATCCTGTATATTTAGATAAACCCTTGAAATTCCAGTTCACATTCTGAGAACCCAAGATGATTCTAAGCCAATTAGTACCTGAGAGTTGGTCATGGTGACCTACTTATCACTTGTCATTCTCTGAGGACCCATCAACTAAGTTTGATGATTCTAAGCCAATTTATACCTAAAATGTTTTTTTTTAAATTATAACCATAAAATTTTATAAGTAGGTCAAAGTGACCTACTTTTCAGTTGTTGTACTACAAGGACCCAAGATGCATCAACTGAAAAAGTTTGATGATTCTAAGCCAATTAGTACCTGAAATATTTAATTAAAGCCATAAATTTTCAAAAGTAGGTCACAGTGACCTACTTTTCAGTCAACCTACTCCGAGGACCGAAGATGCATCAACTGACAAATTTTGATGATTCTAAGCCAAATAGTACCCTAAAATATTAAATACAGCCATAAAATTTCAAAAGTAGGTCACAGTGACCTACTTTTCAGTTGTCGTACTCCAAGGACCCAAGATGCATCAACTGACAAAGTTTGATGATTCTAAGCCAATAAGTACCTGTAAAGCCATAAATTTTCAAAAGTAGGTCACGGTGACCTACTTTCTAGTTGACCTACTTCGAAGACCCAAGATGCATCAACTGACAAAGTTTGATGATTCTAAGCCAATTAGTACCAGTAATATTTAATTAATGCCATAAATTTTCAAAAGTAGGTCACGGTGACCTACTTTCTAGTTGACCTACTTCGAAGACCCAAGATGCATCAACTGACAAAGTTTGATGATTCTAAGCCAATTAGTACCAGTAATATTTAATTAATGCCATAAATTTTCAAAAGTAGGTCACGGTGACCTACTTTCTAGTTGACCTACTTCGAAGACCCAAGATGCATCAACTGACAAAGTTTGATGATTCTAAGCCAATTAGTACCAGTAATATTTAATTAATGCCATAAATTTTCAAAAGTAGGTCACAGTTACCTACTTTTCAGTCGACCTACTTCGAAGACCCAAGATGCATCAACTGACAAAGTTTGATGATACTAAGCCAATAAGTACCTGAAATATTTAATTAAAGCCACAAATTTTCAAACGTAGGTCACGGTGACCTACTTTTCAGTCGACCTACTCCGAAGACCCAAGATGTATCAACTGAAAAAGTTTGATGATTCTAAGTCAATTAGTACCTGAAATATTTAATTATAGTCATATATATTGAAAAGTAGGTCACAGTGACCTACTTTTCAGTTGACGTTCTTTGAGGACCCAAGATGCATCAACTTACAAAGTTTTATGATCATAGGCCTTAAAATGTCCAAATTATGCCTCTAAAATGCTTTGAAATCAAATGCCTGCAAAGTTCAAAAAGTAGGTCACTGTGACCTACTTTTTAATAAATATGTTTTATGGCCCCAAGATGCATCATCTTACAAGATTTAATGATTCTAAACCTCTCGGTATTCGAATTAATGGCCTTAATTGTTTTGAAAAAGATTAGCCATAAAATTCAAAAAGTAGGTCAAGGTGACCTATTTTTTAGTTGACGTAGTTCGAGGACCCAAGATACATCAACCGACAAAGTTTGATGATCATAGGCCTTAAATTGTTCAAAATATGCCTCTAAATCATTTTGAAAAAGAATGGCCGCAAAATTTAAAAAGTAGGTCATCATGACCTACTTTTGAGTCAACATGATATGAGGTCCTTAGATGCATCAACTGACAAGATTTGATGATCCTAGTCCTTATAGTAAGCAAAATATCAACATTTTAATAAAATGTAATTTTTGGTCAACTTTGAAGTGACCTTGAGACCACGCCCTTTGCCCAAGGGTAAAACCCCGTGCAAATTTTAATCTACAACATATCCTCATCCTTTTGTGTAAGTTTGGTGATAATCTGCCCTGTGGTTCTTGAGAAGAAGATTTTTTAGCAACCAGTACTTTTGTTTCTATTTTCCTAATTATTTCCCCTTGTTTAAGGGTCACAACCCTAGTTTTAGTACAAACGGGAGCCCTTGGGCCAAGGATACCCTGTGACAAATTTGACAATAATTGGCCAAGGGGTTCTTGAGTTATGGCCCATATTCTAAAAAGTTTACGCACACCGCACGCCGCACAAATGGCCATAGCATTAGCTCTTTGAGCCTTTGGCTCAGAAAAGCTAAAAATTAATAACAAAAGTAATTCAATCAAGTGATCAACCAACTTAAATAACCCTTTAGTGTTTTTTACAACATCATCAATGTGTGTTTTTTTTTTTTGGTTTTGTTTATATTTTTTGTTTTACCTGGCTATTAATAATCGAGGAAATCCCCAATGTATCCCCATTTATCTGTGACAGTGCCCCTCCCCTGGATGCCTGACTGAGCATGGAGGAGTAGGCTGTTGAATGAGAGCAGGGTTGTGAAAGGCTGGGTCCCTTTACTGCAAGCTTTGGTCTGTGAAGGCGACTTGGCTTGTTTTCCTTAAGCAAGGAAGCATTTTCAAGTCTTGAAAGTTCAGAGGTTGTCTCTGCCTCTGCAAGAGAAAAAAAAAATATCTAGTTTTGTACTACTTTGTTTGTTATTTTTATTGCTTACATTTCAAAAATTTAAATGCCTTATCAAAGGGAAACGGGGGATATTTTGTTCCAGTTTCCTGAAAATGCTTTGAAGCTTTACTGGTTAAAATGCGCATTAAGGACATTGGCAAGGTTCCTGGATATCATATAGAATTTTTCAAGAACTCTTGTGTAGGTTTAAATGTACTAAACAGGCTATATTCTGGATCGTTTAACCTACCAATCCAACCTTCTTTTTTAGATTTTGTCAAGTCAGTGTTTTTACAATTCTCAATGCATTTCCTATGTAAAATGTTGATAAAAGGGACCTACATAATTTTTCACCATAATATTTTTCCAAAACCCACTTATTTCATACAGTTTTTGTATTATATACATTACTGTATCTTCATTTCCTATGACTTCCAGAAATTTTGGCTGAAAATTTATATATATCGTAACATGACTTGGATATACCGGCACAGTTCATTATTTCTGAGTTGCTTCCCTTAACACCTAAAATTGATCAAGAGACTGGTTGATCGTTTTTATCATGTAATTGACTGAATTGATTGAAACAAATTGTCATAAAAATATAGGCATGGTGTTATTTTTATTTTTCATTCGTAGTTACTAAATGCTGCTTCCTTCACACGACCTAAGAACTGTTCTCAGTCGGCTACCTTTCAGCATATGTCACATCTTTGCCCTTCCCAGCATACTGAGCATAACTATGGTAAATGACAACCTAGTGGCTCTTTGTCCCTGAATACAATGTACAACAAAGCCATTACTACTTTCCTTTCGTGCTGTATAGATGATTCTACCTGTTGAAGAAAGTACACGTGCTTTTATTTACCTCTGTAACATACGCTCTATTGGTTTCCACCGCTTAGAGAATTCTACACGGGAGATCACTCTCAATCACTATTTTATAAGTGAAAAAAAAAACATGTATTAAACCTTTTTTCTCCGGAAAACCCTGACTTGCCAATGTCCTTAAGGAGACAAAGCGAGTCATAATCCTATATTTCCTGTATTACATTTGAAACATAAATCAAAAGATTTATCAAAAATATGAGTATAGCAAAGTTTTGACGAACTCAGCTGCATTGTACAATATATGAGTACCAGAAAAACAGGTTATATCAACCATATGGTTGTTATTGTCTAATAATGTGACTTTTATTTGAAGCATTCAGCTCCAATATAAACATGAAATTGGAACATGCATAGGTAGCGAATATGTTATGATTATCTCTATCCCAGATTCTGTCAAAATGCTTGGTCTATTCCACGTCTATGGTGACTGGTAGTCTTGTTCATGGTTTCTATCAACATGTACAAGCCAAAAAGAAAAAAAAATGTCTCAATTATTTTCATTTTTGAACATTTTAGTTTCTTTAATTTACCTTTCAGAAGATGATTAATGAGCACTGAACATCGTAATCATTATCTTTATTTTTGATCCATATAATCTTTCACAGTAAAATATTTTAAGCATGACAATGAATTTCAAAAACATCAGATTTAACTTAATTGTGATCATACATGTATTAGAACATGTAGAATATAGGCATTAAATTACATGAAGAAAAAAAACACTGCTCCATAAAATGCTCTTACCCGATTCTGATAAGTAATCCCTAAATTCTTCAAACCCATCAGCATCTTTCCTGATGGTCTTTCCAGCTGTGGTATCAATTCCGGTTCTCCTGCAAGAAAAAAAAAAACAGTATTGCTTTTGCAAAATCATTTAGAATGTTTGAAAAATGTACTTGATATGAGGGTCATCGAAAAAATACATAGATAATATAACCCTCTGTCATATTATTTAGAAAAATTAAAGATTATCATATGTAAAAACAATTTATTTTGTAATTGTTTAAGTTTCATTCAATTTCATAAAAAAGAATTCTTGTTACTTTATTTTTTTAAAATCAATGTTTTGTAATCAACTATTGAAGTAGCATAATAAGTAAATTTGTCAGCTGTACGTGTTTTCAGTTTTTACTACATCCAGACCTGGGGTAATAGTAATGTGTAATGTAGCTTTTCATGTCAGACGTTATTAATCCTTTTGACCAAATTTTTACTTATTAATGGTTTCTCACAAACCATCCATCATTCGTAACGTACTATAGATTCCTTATTTTCTGCAAATACTTATTATATTGCAAAATGACCCATAGAATCATGAGAACATCAGACCATTTTGTTTACATTAGATTTTTCAGTCTGACAAAATTTGGTTTGGTCCTGTGTGTCCCTGTGTGAATGTTCTGTGTGACCCAAAAAACTTTCGCACAGAGTGACAGACTGCTGAATCTCAGCTGAGATTACCTTGGCAATCAACGACAGAAATTTTGTGTTTACCATCGTCCACAAAAAATCAAAACTAAACTTTTGTGAAAAGAAAAATCTATTCTAGTTTGATTAAACTGAAATATACTTACCATCCATATTGTCTGTTGAATGGATTTACAAAACGCTTTTTGTTGGGTTTCTGAAAGAATATAAATTATAACCATAACAGAGTTTTATCAAACATAACAAATCTTTCAAAAGTTATAGCAAGGTCAATGTATTTTTAAATAAAGACATGGAAAAAAAACTGTTTTCCTGTATAAATGCCTTTCAATTTTTAAATCATTTATGAACGTCAGTTTTCTCTAGCAAAAAGACAACTACAGGTAGCACTGCTAGGGTAAACTGGTATTCTATACAATTTAACCATTAATAACAGAAGTAGTAGTCTTACTCTTGGCATCTCCTTCAGTGCGACACTGCTTTAACCTTATATTGGAGTCGGTATTTTTTTTCAAGATTTCATTTTTTCCGCCATTTTTTCTGTTTTCAAATATAAAGCACTGAATATAGCATAGGAATAACTAATTCCGAATAGAATAAAATTTTCCACTTACATGTTATTTTCTGTATATAAAAATAGACTTGGATTGTCTTTTAGGTCCTGTTAATTATTTATTATGTATTTTCAAGAGTTTTTTTTTTTTTGAGAAAGATCTAGAGAGAAAGTTTTTTTTTGTTAGCCATGCTCATTGCTCTGTAAATGAGCCCGGCCCGGCTCTCTATACTTCTTTGATTATCTATTTCGTGAAAATCAAAGTCATTTTGACGCTTAGCATACCGCGAACTTTTGGAAGTTGAAAGTAGGTATACTAGGTAATGTTTACAGCTTTTGCTTTGACAATTTTTTTGTCTACTTTCAAATTTATCAATGTAATAGATTGTAAGCTACAAATATGAAGAATTCTCAATTATTTTGAAACCGACACTAACTTTTCGTTCAGTCACAGAGGGCCTGTATAACTGCAGAGTTATAGAATAAGTTGTTTTCAGTGTATGTTTTATGCGGAATATAATAAAAAAAAAAACCCTAATGTAATTTTCCACTTAGTTTCACTGTAAATTTATATCCCATTTGACAGTTCTCAACTTCTATCCAAACATTTGAAACATCGGTTAAATATAAAGAGAGTTCAACAGTGTTCAACACACTGCTTTTTTTTTTTGGTTTAAAATACAAGCAAACAGTATACAGATAAAGTACACAAGATTTTTTGCTTTTTCTTAACACTTTTTCTGTATTGGTTAAATGGTCTTATTTCCAAGCATACAAATGTGAATGGATAAAATGTTTTGTAAATACATGTATTATACAATACATTTTATAAGTAGTATTATATTTAATTTGATGAATAAGAAAAGGCATATAATGTCAGATGATGAAACCATTTCAATGAATGTCAGAATTTCCATGTAAGAATCATATGAGTGTCTGAGCAACTGGCCCAGAGCCAAAATAAGAGTTTGGGTGAAAAAAAAGATAAAGATATTTTAGTATTCAGATTCTATGTGAATAGCAAATTCACATCCCACTTACCGGTAATATTTTTCATTGGCACCAGTGTTGTGAGAGGGAAATTACTGAAAAAAGATCTTGTTATCATATTACATGGTCATCTTATAATGTAAACCATCTTTTATTCGCATGAGAGAAATATCTGCAAGTTTCGCGACCTACTTTAACTCAAATATTGATCGCAGTGAACCATTTATTTTGTTTTGTTTTCATAGAAAATATTTCCTTAGTCACGAAAATTAATTGTCGCAGATGGATTTCAAACTGACAAATCATGAATAAAAGATGATGCGAATAATAGTTGGTTTACAGTATTTAATATCAGTAAAGATATAATAGTCTATCATAGATATCAATAGCATATAGAGTGCCATAGATGTAATGCTGAATATTCAGGAAATGTCTGATTTTTTGGTGCAAGTTTGATTCTCACTGATGTGTATAAGTTTAACAATATTTTATCATTATATTTATAAATCACTGGATTGGGCAGCATGCACACTGCATTTAAAAGTCTTCTCCTGCAGAGCACAAGTTGTTTATTATGTGACAGGCCTCAACTATTTTTTATACCATTGACCAAAATAAGATTTAATATCTTTGTGGTTTTTGGTGTAATTATTTCCATTTATCAATAATCTGTATTCTGTAGTATATAGTAAAGTATATTTCATAATATTAGAATTTTTAAAGATTCATTAAGATGGCCTGATGCTATATGGATCAGTTCTTGTCTTCTAGCAATTTTGTAAACTTTAAATCTTTTTTCAGCTCCATCTCTGATGGTATATTTTCTGAAGTACAAACTGACTTGACATGAGTGCCCAGCAGATGCTTGCTGTCCTACAGGACCTAGGCTATCCCAAGGCCAGTAAACTGGACCCCAAGGGCCTAGAGTGGATGTTTGAAAATGATGCAATGCTGCCGTTTTTGGAATGGTTTTGCAACAGCATCAGTGCTGCTAATGTTCTCACCAAGGAAGAAATGGAACAGTAAGGGATTCTGTACTATATTACACCTATTTTTACAATGTTTCTGTAGTATCGGTAAATGTAAAAAGTTTGTCACATGCTAATAGAATAACACCTCTTAATAGATTGCAGCATGTAGGAATTGTTTTAAATATATCAGAACTAAAATGTTTTATTGTTTGTTATTTAATTTTAAATTTCTAAATCCGATTAAAATACAGCAGAGAAAAATGAAGTGTAAAACTTGATTTAGGAGTATATATAATGAGTACATGAAAGAGAGAATTGTTCAAATTTACTAGAGGAAGCAACAACATTAAAGGTTACAAGTATAGTGCAGTATTGATTTTTGGTCATTATGTAGGTTCCATTCATTAGAGAGTTCCAAGGAAAGTGTTTTGGAAGGTGAACAACTAGAACAGGCATTGAAAAACCTGAAGGTTTCTCAGAATGAACAAGTAACTGTGGCACAGCTAGAGTAAGTTGGATCTCAGTGGAAAAAAGTTTATTTCAACAACTTGACAAATCCATAAACATAAAATACACATTCAGCTTGGTCAAATTTGTTGAGGAATTTTGAGTGAATTGTATTTGAAGTAAGGTTTTGAAAGAAAATTATATTGTATTCATACATGTAAGACTCTAATTAACTGTTACAGACAGGAAGTAGAGCAGTTAACAGAGAATTTGGAAAGGTGCAGAACAAGAAAACAAAGTTTGATACAAAAGAGAAACAAACTAAGGTAATTCTTAAAACACAGGAATACCTTATTATCTTGAAGCTGGTAAAAAAAATTCAAGATATTTGAGGTATCAAAAAAATACTTTAAAAAAAAGTAGTTGGGACTTCCAACTCACTCAGACATATCTATGATATCTGAAATATCAAAAATTGAGATACAAAAGTTCATCTGTATTTGTGATGAAACACCTACATGTAAGAGTTAAATTTACAATTCAACATCCTCACAACGTTGGGGTCCTTAGTCCATCGTGGCTGTTGGATCCTGACAAACTTCATTCAATATTTTATGGGCTGACTGCAGTGATGTCTTTCAGGAAATTACAGGAAATTACAAATCTTGATTGTTTTTCTTATCTCTTGACCAATCACAAAAACCTGTAACACGCATTGAGTTGTCAACTGCTTACTTTCTGTTTACGTTTATTTTTTAATCAACTAATGAAAGCCTTAATCTGATTGGTGCTTCTAAATGAGAGAAGCAAGCCTGTAAATTATTGAATGAAGTTTGTCAGGGGCCATTAGTGGACTCGGAACCCCTGACGTTGTGAGGCTAATAATTGAAACGAAAGTTTGATTCCTGATAAACATTCCTCTTTTTTGCAATAAATAGTGGTTTGATTTTCATATGATTTATTTATGTTATATGATTTAGTCTTCATCATACATCGCTGAGTCACAGACAATCAAAGCTTTCCCAGACAGAAGCTAGAGTCAAATCACAGTACAAGAGAAGTTTGGAGCAAAACAAAACAGATAATGCTGCAGTAAGGACAGAAATAGGGAAGTTTATATATCAGTTTGTGTGTGATAATTTTTACTGTCACCTCTTGAGCATGGAGGACACATAGTAATCTGTCTGGGAGGTGTCACACTTAAAAAAAAAAAGTTTATTTTTAAAGCTATATGGTCTGCAAGTGTTCATTATATTTTACCCATTAACATCATCTACTATTGATCACATGTTCAAATGAGGAAAATATCCTTTCTACTTATCCTTTGTCTTGGGACAAAGTTGTAATTAAAGAAATATTCAGCATAAAGATCTTTCTACAACTATCATGTGGCCTTTCATAGGTATGACGAGGTAAACACATGGGTTTGTTTACTGGATAGAATATCATAGTTTAACAGTCTACTTACTTCATACCATGTTCAAGTAAACTGTTTGACCACTGCTATTTTCCTCTCGTGTCTTGATTCGGTCAAAATAACCAGCTTTCCACAACGCTTAATATGCACTTGCAAAAAAAAAAAAAAAAAAAAAAAAAACTACTGTTTTTGATTGAAGCAAAACTACTTTGTGTGCATGTGCATTATTAGCAGTTGTATATATCGTGGAACCACAATTATTATTTTTTAACTTCCAATATTTCTTTTTCTCTGCAACAGATGTGAACTTCAGTGTTAATTTTTGGAAAGTGTGAAACTTTTACACTGTAAATAAATGATGGTGAAAAATCGTAATTTTCAGAGATCAAAAAGATTGGCCCACACAACTTTAATTACATCATTGTTAAACTTTACGAAAATACAAATCAAAGTGAGTTGAAAATATTAAGATTAATTCAGGACAAAATCATCCTTTGGGCAGTTAATTGCATGGTACTCATATGTGTTGAGATCAGTTCCATATACCATAATTGTTATCCTTGTAATTTAGCAGATATAATTGATACATTATCTACAATATATCTATTATGTACAATATACATGTATTTGAATGTACCTGAATACTGTATATACTCACCTATAAGATGGTCTGCCTATAAGTCGGTCGTATTTTTTAAGCTTAAATAAGAGGGATTGACCCGCTAAAATACCAATCTTTTTGTAACTCGCGTATAAGTCTGATAAAGAATTTTGGACCAAAGTTTAACTCCCCAAAAAACAGACTTATAGGGGAGTATACATGATATATATATTTAGTCCGGGAATCAATTATTTTTCAGGTGAACTCTAGTTTGGAGCACCTGGTTGAACGTGTGGGACAGCTGAGTGAAATTTATGAGTTACCTGTCCAGGAGAAAAGTAAGGAGGGTGTGCCAATGTTCCTGTCTCAACTGGCACTGGAAGAGTACTATCAGAAAGAAGAAAAATTCTCACAAGAGTTATCCCTCTTTACAAAGAAGAAATTTTTTGAGGTAAGCCATCATTTTTCTTTCGTAATGATTTTGAATCGAAATTGTATTTACTTGATTGATCAGACGAGAATTCCTGTATGTGTTTTTAGTTCTTTGTTGAGAAAAATTTATCACTGGAAATGCATATTGATTAAAGGGCATAGCTGATGTAGCTGGCCAAAGTGAGGGCTCAAGATATGAAATATTGGAAATCAGTGATCCCAATTTGTCCTTGATCAGAGGTGTAGGTCAAGAGGTCAACATTAGCCAGTGCAAAGAATTGTCCAGAATAAAAAAGAGGTAAGATTTAAAACAAAGCTTGGATTTCAAATGGACATAAATCTGTTAAAGTTGATTATGTGTTTTCATGTGATAGGGTGTCTGAATGAATATTTTTTAAATGTAGTTATCCTGCTGCTAAGTTGAAACATATTGAAGCAAAGATCGCGAGTGTCCAGTCAGAGCGACGTCTAGAAACAGCCGAGGATATTTTGAGGATGGTTCAGGCTGGAGAGTTCTCCAAGGACTGTAACTCCATAAAGTATGTACATTCTCTGTAGCTCACATGTTAATAAAATGTTAAGTCTTCTCACTGTTAAAACTGCTAATCAATTTACATTTATCCTAATAAAAAAATCTTTATTAGATTGATAATTTTACCACCAAAAATTACAATTGAGTTCATTGCAAATAAATTCATTGATTCATTTATTTTTTTTTTTTTTTACAAACTAGTATTTTCTCATTTTACAGTCATCGCAAAGAGTCACATGTCCTATTTGATTAAAAAAATTATGATCATGAAAAGTATTGCTTAAATTAAACAATGTTGTGAATTATAAAGCAGTCTTTTTTTTTAAAACTACAGTGCTCCCTCGGTATATTGCCAACTTTTGTCCAAGACAGATTTTGGCATTAAAGCGAGGGTGGCAATATAACGAGTTCTGTCATAAATTACAATGCAATGAGCCCAGTTCAAGATGAATACGTAATTTATTTTAGTTAAAATCAAATGTCATGCTTTTGCGCGTGTGTACATACATATACACTCAAGCGCAACTTTCATTTCTTCCGGAAAAAAAGTCATTAATTTATTTGTTTTTAAAATGAAATGAAAATGTCACAATATTACGACATTTTTCAATTTCCCGCTCTTTCGCTCTTCTGTTGATCCTGAGTCGAAGAATTTAACAACCCGATGATAACGGTGTCAATAGCAGTTATAGTCTCTCGGTATACAAAAGTTTTTGAGGTTTATCGGCAATATCATCTGAATCGTAAGTAGATTATTTCACCATCTCAATAATACTAGATCAGTTAAAAAAGTTCGGTAACAGACGAATGGAAAGTCACGTGCCAGGGTACACGTCTAGATCTTCATGAACCTGTTGTAATATACACGTATTCTCATGTTTGCTAGTACCTGAGTACTTTCTCTTCTTAATCTGTTTTGATATTCATCAATCAATCCATTATGTGTCCAACAATTGAATTCCGCACGTGAAAATGGCATGGGATTCCCTTACCCCTGAAACAGTCATATAGTAGTCTAAAAATAGAGATGGGATTTCCTTAGAATTTAGAATTTGGTTTTTTGATCTATAGGGAATAAAATGATTTTTTCATTTATTATGGCCTAGTTCGGTGAAAGCAACAATCGGCGATTTACAGTTAAATAAAATGTACAATTATTTATTTGGGTTTATTTTAAATTTTCGTTTGTAATCTAAATTTGTACGCTTTCTCTTCCCTGACTTTCCCATTATTGTGATGAAATAATACTTCCATCTTATAAAAACAACACAAAAGAAATTGCTAATTTTGAGTTTTATAAAACAATTATCTTTAATTTAGCTGAACTCCTTGTTCAGCCAGTCACGCTTTACCGCAACCACTGTCAAAGCACGGGTGTGACGTCCAAATTACCGACAAGCGCTAGATAATTGGCATTGTTACCGAGAGTTTTCCTTATATAATTTGACCTTTTGTTTCCCCAAACTAGTGGCGGATGGCAATAAGCGGGGGTGGCAATATAACGGGTGTATTAACACAGGGGGAAATCCGTTCTTGGAGAATTCCTGGCAATAAGCGGGGGTGGCAATATAACGGAGGGCAATATACCGAGGTAGCACTGTATTATGAAATGGACTGTCAGTGAATTTTATTTGAGCTATGTTCTGCCAGACTGGTAGCTTAAAAAAGGCTAATTTGATGACTTTTTGCAGTAAACATTTAAGTGATGCTGACTCTTCATTACAAATGGTACAAAGAGAACTGGAAACTTTATCTGGAGATGAGATCCCTGGATTAATTCAGGACAGCATGACCTCCCAGGTGTCACACATTCTGACAGGGGACTACAACCTTAAACTGGCTAGACAGGATTACTTCATCTCAAATCAGGACCAGGTGACAATCATCAAAAGATTTTATCATACTCCATCATGAATATGGTCAGAACATGTATTGTTTCTTCATGTCTGTCATCCATCCTTCTGTTCTTCTGTCCCTCTATCCATCACTCAAAAGAATGATGACAATAGTGATAAATAAACATTAAAACTGAAATCTTCTTCATCCATGACAAAAGACTTGTCACAAAAGGATTTGATAACTTTTCAAGATGAAATTAATTTAACAAATAAAGATTTTTCAAGTTAAATTCATGAAATTAAGGTAAATAATAGATAACCGAACCAAAAAACCAGAAACTGAACTGAAAATTTACGGATCCAACCCAATCTGAAAAATTTTTGAGCCGTGACAGCCCTAGTTGAGGATATTTTTATTAAACTTCATACACTAATACAAATTGGTGAGGGTTAGTAAACTGTGTCTTAATTTTCTATCCTTGACCTTCCCTGTGACCTTAGCCTAACTATTCCATGTTGTATTTACTTTTTCAAAGACCAGGGGAGCTTATATTATGTTAAGGTTTCCATCTTCTTTTTTCCTTCTTCTTAGCTGTTTGTTGATCTTTGACAATTTGATTAATAAGTAGAAAACAATAAGACACATAACTCTATGTGACAGATTTTCATTTCAGCAAACAGTTTAACCTTGGCAACAAAAAATATAAATTTATGTGAAATTCTTTTAAAATCCTACATGTTCAGTCTGATTTCAATAAAACATGGTATACGAAAGATTACACCAATGTCCATAACTTTATTTGTTTTATGGCATTTTCGTGGATACCTAAAATAAAAATTCCATAAAATTCTTTATAATTACTACGCCCAGTGTTTGACCTTAATGTCTGTCCGTTGACCCAAGACCCACAAATATTCGGGAGGATAGATAAATTAGAAAATTTAGTCTGTTAGAGGGTTCAAAAATCAAAATTCATTTGGTAAAAAAGTAGGCAACACTAAGATACATAATTACGGTATATGTTTATCAGATTTTGATTTTGATGAATGATGTTGCCATGTTATTAAAAATACAATAATCTTTTTTTTCAAAAGTTTACTCCTCCTACAGTTTTAATCTGATTTCAGTAATCTTGCCACACAAAAAGACAAAACCAAGTATTGATTTATTGGTGCCATATTTTCAAGTCCCAGTGCTACTTTTGCCTTCCTCTGTTAGAAGTACAAACCACAAGAGCTAGAGTCTTTTCAGAGACTTCTTACTTGTCTATTATGTTGAAAATCTCGGTTGTTTTTTTAATTTTTTTTTATTAAATAATATTTTCTAGACCTTATGGACTCCCACTATCCAATCATTTTGAATAGTTTAGAGTACATGTTTAGTGATAATACCATAAAAAGTACGTTTTTCACTTGCCCTTGAAACATGGTAAAGGTCAGCTTCCTACTGAAACCAGTTATGTCTTATGAAACATTTAAACCTGGTAAAAGCATGTTGAAACATTATTATTTTAACTTTTAAAGGTTATACATCCTTTAGTGCAACAGAGAGCTAGGAATGAATTTCTAACCATGGCATTTGAACTTGAGAACCGTAACCATCGAGACATACACCGTCTGCTGGTGGCCATTAAGCAGCTATTACAGAACCATTTAAAAGGATGGCAGGCCAGGATGGTAATTAAACCAATTTGTTTGCAGAATTTTCAAGACTCAGATTATTGTTTATTTGCAGAATTTCTATGTTCACAGACAATGTGTATAATCTTCAAAAGTTTTTGTAGAATCTCATGTCTTACATATTTCAAAAGCATTTCAAACTGATAAATTATAAAAAACCTATTTAGAAACTTCTTTTATCTGAAAATTAATAAAGCTACAGATTTCAGGCATGTTTGATTATCGTACATACTTGCACTTTCATAAACTAAAATTTATCCTTAGGAATATCCGCTCCTCAGAAAGGAATGATAACTCTTAAAATTATTATTTAATTAAAAAGAAGTCTCAAAATTAAGCTTGAAATTGAATTTTTTTTTTTGTGCAACAATTTTCATTTCATGCATCTCATTATGATTCAAGGTTCTTTGAAGTCTTGGTAATGGTATTTTAAAAAGTTGACATTTGTACCCATAAAAGTACAATAAATACATTTTTAGAGGAATCTGATTTCCTTTAATCTAGCCTTAGATACCATATGATTATTACATGATAAGAAATTAGAAGTGATCTGTGATGTCTTGCCATGATAGAACAAGCTTTTTACACTATGTATTATAGGACAAATGAACTAAACAGAAGTATTAAAATACTGTATAAATATAAAAATGTGCAATGTTTATGCCCCGCCATGAATATGGCCGGGGCATATAGTGTTTGTCATGTCTGTCTTCCGTCCTTCCATCCTTCCGTCTGTTTTCCATCGTGCTTTGTGTTTAGCTCTGTTCAAAGCTCAGTTTTAAAGAAACTATGCAAGATATTTTTATCAAACTTTGGGCATATAGTGTTTGTCATGTCTGTCTTCTGTCCTTCCATCCTTCCATCTGTCTTTCCGTCGTGCTTTGCGATTAGCTCTGTTCACAGCTCAGTTTTAAAGAAACTATACAAGATATTTTTATCAAACTTCATATGCTGATAGATATTGATGAGAGCTATGCAACTGCATCAACATTTTTTGACCTTGACCTTTCATTTGACCTTGAGCTCACTTTTCTTAACTTATTGTTTAGCTCAGTTTTAAAGATACCATTCAAGATAGTGTAATCAAACTTCATATGTTGATACATACTGATGTAAGCTATTCAACTGCATCAACATTTTTTGACCTTGACCTTTAATTTGACCTTGAGCTCACTTTTCTTAACTTAGTGTTTAGCTCAGTTTTAATGATACCATTCAAGATAGTGTAATCAAACTTCGTATGTTGATACATACTGATGTAAGCTATTCAACTGCATCAACATTTTTGACCTTGACCTTTCCTTTGACCTTGACCTTTTTTCTTAACTAAGTGTTTAGCTCAATTTTAAAGATGCCATTCAAGATAGTGTAATCAAACTTCATGTGTTGATACATACTGATGTAAGCTATTAAAATGCATCAACATTTTTGTCCTTGATCTTTCCTTTCACCTTGATCTCACTTTTCTTAAATTAGTGTTTAACTCAGTTTTTATGAAATCATTCAAGACATTTTTATCAAACTTCATATGCTGATACATACTGATGAGAGCTATTCAACTGCATCAATATTTTTTACCTTGACCTTTCCTTTGACCTTGACTACACTTTTCTTAAATTAGTGTTTAGCTAAGTTTTAAAGAAACCATTCAATATAGTGTTATCAAACTTCATATGCTGATACATCCTGATGAGAGCTATTCAACTGCATCAATATATCATTACATCAGATCAACCTTGCTGCAGAGCTGATAAAAAGGGAGGTAAAAAAGGCATGTGTTGGAATGCAGGGGTTATCTCAAGAGTTGATGAATCATGACAAATCTATTTCTTTCCTATCCTTTACTGAAATTTAACATTTCTTTTGACCTTGACCTGACTTTTCTCAATTTATGTTTAATTCAGTTTTAAAGAAACCTTTCATAATATTTTTATCAAACTTCATATGCTAATACATACTGATGTAACCTTTTCAACTGCATCAACATTTTTTGACCTTGACCTTTCCTTTGACCTTAACTTTAAATTAGTGTTTAGCTCAGTTTTAAATAAACCATTCAGATTATTTTTTTTCAAACTTAATATGCTAATACGTATTTGTGAGAACTATTCAACTGCATCAAAAACATTTGGCCTTGAACTTTCCTGTGACCTTGACCTCACTTTTTCTTAAATTTGCATTTTGAGTAAATTTAAAGAAACCATTTAAGATACATTTATGTAAGCTTATACACTTATGTATAATTTGGTGAGAATTTATTATCTATATCCAACTTTTTAGGTTTCAGTTTCAATTTTAAAGAAACTATTCAAGATATTCTAATCAAATTTCATACACTAATACAAATTTTCATGTTGCATTACTAATATACCCTCGGCGGGGCATTCATGTCCTATGGACATACTTCTAGTTTTCAAATGCCCGGATACCTATAATTTTTTTTATCTTAAAATATATTTGTTTATCAATTTTTAATTAAAGAATGCATAATTGGTGCTTTTATTCCCATTTTCTGAAAATATATTTGAGATTTGATAATTTTCCCTTTATAATATGATTAACGATAATGATATACTTTGAAGAAACTCCATGAGTAAATACAGATTACTTTGTGAATTCAGAGACATTTTTGTAAGCAAATTTTAAACAAAACTTTTAAAGGGAATAAATAATTGAATTTCATGCCATAAAAATGATAGTTCTTCACTGGCTCTTATTAGCTTACCAAGCAGGTAATTATATCTTTTCACACCATATTCATGGTGCATTCTCATTCTCATCAATTGATCTTTAATACATTCCCAACTGTGAAATGTTGCCACAAAGATATTTTCTAATGAAATTAGAAATGAAGTATCTAAGAGTGATTCACAGTGTTCAGGTTTTAGTTCACCAGAGCCGAAGGCTTTTTCTTATCACATTTTGTCTGGCATCCTTGTGTCTGTCTGTCCATCTGTCTGTCTGTAAACTTTTCACATTTTTTGACCTCTCCTCAAGAATCACCAGGCCAATTTCAACCAAACTTGCCACAAAGTATCCTTGGGTAAAGGGGATTCAAGTTTGTTCAAATGAAGGGCCCTGCCTTCATCCCAGGGGAGACAATTACAAATAAGTGAAAAATTAATGGCATCTTTTCACAATCTTTTTCTCAAGAACCACTGAGCTAGAAAATATGAATATTATGTGGAATCATCCTCAGGTTGTGTAGATTCAAGTATGTTCAAATCATGACCCCTGGGGATAGGGTGGGGCCACATTGGGCGATCAAAGTTTTACATAGGAATACATAGGAAAAATCTTTAAAAATCTTGAAAACAGCAAAGCCATGATTTTTTAAGCGTCTTCAGGTAGTGTAGAATCATGTTTGTTCAAATCACGACACCCGTGGATATGATGGGGCCATGATGTGTGATCAAAATTTTACATAAGTACACATATGAAAAATCTTTTAAAAAAAATCTTCTCAAGAACAGTAAAGCCATGATTAGTCATATTAATATGGAAGCATCCTCAGGTAAAGTGGAGGTAAAAAAAAATAGACATTTAAAATTATGAACAATGCTTCTGTGTCCAGGCCCCTTTAAATGTTAAACAAAAAGTAGATGCATTAACTGACATGACATTTCATTTGCAGATGTAGTAATATGTCACTGAGATCAAGAACACATTGCAAAACAAGAAGCATGATTGTATTATTTAAACCCTTGAGTATTTCAATCAGTGTTAGTTTTGAAAAAAAGTTTAAGAAAATTCAGTTAAGTTTTCATGCATCTTTGATTTTCTTTTTTTGATAAGACCATAAAAAAATGTTTGTTACAAGTGACCTAAGTCTTTAAAAAAAGTCAATAGGTGTGCATTTTTAGGTTACACGAGTCACTCAGGTGACCTATTGCTATCTGGTTTTGTCCTTCATCATCCATGATGTTTGTGCATCTTCCACATTTGAGAACAATTTCAGCTTCTTCTCAGACTAATTTCAACCAGTTTTGGTTTATAGAATCTTTGGGCAAAAGGAAACAAAAATTGTGAATATATGGTCTCTGCCCATCCGTCCATGCCTAAGGGAATGGGGTCAAATTCATCAAATTAAATTTAATTAATAATTAAAATTAATGTAATCTTCAAAAATCTTATATTTTACTCCTGGACATTAAGCAGTCAAACTGTTGGCATGATTATAATAAGGGGCTTGGACACATTTAAAGTTAATATTTTCTAAAATTTTCATTATATAAATATATCAAGACTAAAAGATTGCTAGAGCATTTCACACTGAAATATTATAAAAGTGTGTCTAGAAACTTCTTTTATTTGGAAATTATTAAAACTACGAATCTCAGGACACATTTGATTGTCACACATTCTTGCAATCTTATGAAGTAAACTTTATCCTTAATATTTAAGAAAGTGGAAAATTTGTTATGTAGTGATGAAAAATATTTAAACTATAATCCAGAAAATTTAGAGAAGAAATGTAAAAAAGCAAATCAACTCATCAGTATTGTCAGTCCATGCTCAGTGATATGTTCAGAGTGAAGAAATTGAACACACCTAGTAAAACGTAAACATTAACAACGAGTATTCTGAGAGTATTGCATTAGCAATACTAGTCCCCTACCGGTAAGTGTAATCTGCTTCCTGTTAAAAATTGAAAATGTCATAATTCCGTCAAAAATCAATGTAGCGGAACGAAATGCAAACTTAATCTATAACTCATGAAGGTAAAGTCATATATCAAAAATCTTCTCAATATCTGCAAGCGTTTAGAAAAAAATGTCGAAAACCCTGAAAAATTGAAAAGGTCATAATTCCGTCAAAAATCATTGAAGCAGAACGAAATGCATACTTGATCTGTAACTCATCAAGATACACTCACATACCAAAAACCAGCTCAATATCTACAAGCTTTTAGAAAAAAAGTGTGGAAAACCAAGTGGGACAGACAGACAGAGGGACAGACTGAAATTATTTTTTTTTAATAAGAATAGAAATTTAAA